CGATGATTCTTATCGATCCGATGGAGGAATATTATTATATCGACGAACAGGTTCGTCCTTTCTTTTAAAATTCAATCTCTTGTTTACTCCGAGAGTTTTGACCGTTTACCGTCGGTAGTTTAACTCTCCCGTAATAGAGACTCTTTCTCTTTCTATCTATTGTAAATTACGTAGCTACGTAAACATTAGTCGCGTGCGCGAATAACATTCTGTTAATACTATCATCATTGTCGTGAATTAATTAAATAATTTAAATGATCGTTAAATTTTTATATGAGAAATTATTAAAATCCTGAATGGAGGAATAATGATAGATGAGATATTTGAAAAAATACAAATTTTAAACGAAGATTCTCGGGACATTGGTTGTATCGTTGGGATGTTGGTTGATTAAGGGAAGGGGGAGAGTTATCAGAGAGAGAGAGAGAGAGAGAGAGAGAGGGAGAGAGAGAGAGAGAGAAAGAGAAAAAGAAAAAGAAAGAAAGAGAGAGACGAGGAGGAATCTTCCGCGTTCCATTTCATTTGTGTCTCGTTTTTCTGTAATAGGTAGACATATGTTCATTTGAATTTGAAATACTAATAGGTGGATACCAAGAGAAGAAAGAAATAATGAATGCCAGAAGGAGTTCGTGCGTGTTGAGATTCATATAAATTGGTGTGGATCCGTTCGCCGTTAATGATTCGCGAGCATGTAATTTTGGTTTTGCGATGTGAAACGAGTTGGATTCGTTGAAACGTTTTGTTCGAGATTCAACGGTATAGATAGACGGTAAGAGAACGTGAACGAGAACGATTCAAGTTTTGTGAACGAGTTTGCGAGTTCCCTTTTTGAAATTTGCGTGCCAGGACATTGCTTTTGCCAAGGATCTCTATAAAATGTTCGAGGTATTAATTAAGCGTGTCGACGACAAATATTTTCTTTATTTTTTTTTTTTTTCTTTTTTTTGTATTTCTCTCCGTCAAGTTTCTCCTCGTTAAAGGATAATTCATATGATTATAAAGGTTAACGAACACGTTTATTCGTTACTATCGCGACAATTTTACTATATAACTAGATAGGATGTGGACATTTTTTTCTTTTTTCTTTTAGCTTGGCTCTTTTTCTTTTTTCGTTCTTTTTCTTCTCTTTCCTTCTCTTCTTCTTCTTCTTCTTCTTCTTTTTATCTCTTTTTCTTTTTTTTTTTTTTCTACCGATTAGAGTTCGCTCACATTTTTTTCAACGAGATTTTCATATTTAATCCTCGGTCGGTCCTCTTTATTTCTTTCCTATCACTTTAACCACTGTCATTTTCCCCTTTCCTCTCTCCTTCCCTCTCTCCCTCTCTCTCCCTGGTTTTTTTTTTTGAATGATAATCGTCGCATGGTAATCGTATAATTGTCAAATGAGTTAGTTTTTATGTTAATTGTAACACTTCCATCAAGATACATATATCTATTCTGTCAAAAGTGTATTACGTTTCGTTGGCATAATAATTGAAATTTAGTTAATAGTACATAGTATCATCTTTCATTTGTCAAAATAACGAATATTCATGGATTATAAGTCAAATACAGATACATATATATATATATATATATATATATATATATATATATATATATTTATGTTCTTATTTCCAATGGAAGGTCACGTCAAACATTATCTAATTATACGAAACGAGAAGCGTTAAACGTTTTAGTAAAGGAATGAAGAAGCTTCGCAGCATCTGTTTCATGTTTTGAAAGATAGAGATACGCTGTGTTTCATCGTACGCGAATTTTCCAATGATTCTACGAATGTTGTTCGATGAAGAAAAAACCAAAGAAAAAAAAAAAAAAAACAAAAAAAAAAGAAGAAAAGAAAAAAGAAAGAAAAAAAGAAGAAGAAAAAGAATAAGAAAAAAAAAATAAAAATAAATAAAATAAAAAGAGAAAGAAAAAGAAAAGAGTATTACCGAGCCGGGAAAGTTTTCCAATTTGGTTTCGACGTTTTGACTCGAGCGACGAAAGAAAAAGTAACTTTACACGTCAGACTTTGAGAGCCGCGAGTCGAATAGGCTTGTAATTCGGTTTCAACGCTCGGCACTTAAGCGTCTCGTAAAATGCGAGTGTGTGAAAAAAAAGGGACTGATGAATTGCGCTATAACTGCGATTCGTTCGCGACTGTGACGTAGGTATCGTTTGACCCTCTGCAATCCAACATCCCCCCCTCCTCCTCCTCCTCCGTCTCTTACTTCAGAAAGTATACTTAAACAGGTACAGGATATTAACGCGAATGTTACTAAACGTGGATATAACACGAAATATATATATCTATATATATATAAAATACGAATAGATGGTATATTACTTTGACATTAGGATGCGTTTGTAACGGATTAATGTGAAAAATATTGAAATCTGTTGCACTGTGTCTTTACAAAATAATAGCTATTTTATTTATATACAAATGTAACTATTTAAATAACTAAAGATATTTTTTATTCAAAAGTTTGAAGGAACGTATTAGAATTCATGCACTAAGAAGGTGATCACGATCGAGGAAATCCATTTTCAAAAATTATGATGCACTGAAAGAGAAGGATAAAGAATAAGAGAAAGAGAGAGAGAGAGAGATTGAGAGAGATTGAGAGAGAGAGAAAGAGAGAGAGAGAAAGATTCGTCGAGACGAATTTCAATGTGCGTCGGATTAAAAATTGTAATCGCGAATCGGGCGACGGTAGACAGGAGTTTTATAAGCGTGTTATACCGCAGCCTGTGATTATGTATTTATGGATATACATCAATCACTTTCGCTCTTCCAATTTCGAATTCCGTTATTCCGACGGCGTGTTCGGTCCGGTGTGCTGTCACGATCCGTCGCGATTCTTTCCTCTTCTTATTTCTCTATCTTTCGTGACGGGATAGAAAGAAAGAAAAAAAAAAAAAAAAAGAAAAGGAAAAAAGAAAAATAAGGAAAGAATAGAATTAGATAAGAAAGGAAAAGAAGGTAATCGTAAAAAAAAAAAAAAAAAAAATGAGAAAAAGAAAGACATTAATAGGATTAGTAACTCGATCGTTCTAATTATTGTTAATAGTTTTGAATCTTTCGTACAAAGTATTAAATCGTAGATCTCACGGTATGCATACGGTTCGCCTCGTAATGTTTTTCAAATGTCGTCATTAATCAGAGAGTAACGAACGCTTTCCTGTACCCTTTTTCTCTTTGTACATACTAACGTATAGGTCTTTTATGCTTACACATTTATATAGTTTCTCTATGTATCTATATATCTTTCTCTCTCTCTCTCTTTTTCTTTCTTTCTTTCTTTCTCTCTCTCTCTCTCTCTCTCTCTCTCTCTCTCTCTCTCTCTCTCTCTCTCTCTCTGTCTGTCTTTCTTTCTCTAGTTAATGGTACAAGACCAAAAGGTAGATAAAATCATTTGGATCATTCTACGATGAAATCTTTGCTCTCGTAGTAACTCGTAAACGTGGGACCAACATCGTTCAAAGAGGAAGAGGAAAGGAGAAAAAGAAGAAAAGATAGAGAGAGAGAGGGAGAGAGAGAAAGAGAGATACTTTAACTCTCTTCGAAGTGCATAAAGATACTTCTCTAGCTTTCCCTCATCCTATTTTCGGCCTCTCCTTTCACTTTCGAATCGTAACGACACGTTCAAAACGGGTCGGATGGTCAAACGATCTTTCTATTTTTCTTTCCTTTGTTCTCTTTTTATTATTCTTATTTACATATCTATTATCGTGTATGCGAATATAGATACACCAACATAATATCCAGGTAGTTATCTGGATTGATATAGGTGTAATGCGAATTCTTCAGTTTAATTATTTAAAAGAAATTCTTTAGGTCAAGTAATGCAACGATACCATCTGTCTGTCTTTCAACGGGAAAGAGTTAATTACCGAGGCACGCATTAATTAGAAAAAAAAAAAAAGAAAAAAAAAAGAGCAAAAGAAAGAAATTATTAGATGGTTGCGTTCTTTCGAACAATCAAAATCGTATCAGGTTTATATCGAGGAAATTATTTTCTCTTGTAAAATAATTATTATTCTATCGTTGATTTGTTCATAATCATTTCAAATTACAAATCAGTTTATACATCCTGTAAATAATCGATTGTAAATGGAAACTCATTTTTTCTTTAATTCCTTTCTTTTTCTTTCTTTCTTTCTTTCTTTCTTTCTTTCTTTCTTTAATATTTGTTAGGTATATAAAAATTATTTCGCTTTGTAACGTTCGTAATTTTCATACATGTGACGGAACATTACCTAGCTCATTGTTTTGTATGTTTTTTTTTTTTTTTTTTTTTTTCATATGCTGGGCCAGTCATTAAATATCGATATAATTATATTTTATAACTCTAACAATCAGTAAATGTATGCGTAATTATTTAAAATTATCACAGATAGCTAATAATTATTGGTTCACCTTGCACATCGAGAAACATTAACAATAACGTGCTAGATAATGCTTAGATATAATTAACAACACCTGCACTGTCGTCATTCCAATTAATTATGTATCCATCGATCATTATCGTATTTATATCTTTTTAATATGATCCGACCAAATATTAATCTAAAAAAAGGGGTTATCAAAATAATCCGAAGAATAATTTCAAATAATGGTGAATACAAAATGGTCGTATAAAAAGGAAAGAAAAGGAATGGACGGCAGAGCGAGCAAAATTATTATCGTACGTAATTTTTGATAAACGGGAGATGTTAAAAAAATTCGACGATGTATAGGAAGAAGAAAGGAAGAAAAAAAAAAGGAGGAAAAAAGAGAAAGAAAAAAACAAAACAGAAAACATTTGATCTTAGAGAAATAGTTAGACGAAGGTGATATTTTGAATGTTATTATTGAGTGTCACCTTCGTTCTTTTAATAATTAAGGACTCTCTCGAGCATCCGGCTTTCAGTTCTTAGTTGATCGTAGCCTGCGTCGGAACTCTCACGAACGTCGCGTTTGGATAAACACGAGCTTCTCAGTATTTTTCTCTCTTGAAAAAGAAGAAGAAGAAGAAGAAGAAGAAGAAGAAGATAAAGAAATAACCTGCCTTGAGTATTTTTTCTTTTTTTTTTTTTTTTTTTTTTTTTTTCTTTTCTATGGAGAGTCACGCAATTAGTCGTAATAATTAGTTTGCTTCCGCATTTTATCGAGATCCAAGAGGAAGGATTTATATTGAAAATTTGATCGGTCGAAAAAACGATTTACAATATCGTTCCATTTCTTGTTCATTATTTTTTACCTGTTTATTTTTGTGTTATCGATAGGAAAAAAAAAAAAAAGAAAAAAAATGATATAAGGAAAAAAAGAAAAAGATAGGAGAAAAAGAGAAGGAAAAAAAAGAGAAAAAAGAACAAAAAAAAAAAATAAAAGAAACGCCGACAATAACGAAGGCGTCGCCCGTAAAGTTTAATTTTACTAACATAAGCTATTTTTCTATAGTCACTTTGACCGTCCCACTTACGCGTATCGCCGATGGTGTACGAGTACGGTATCCGGTTTTAGAACGCGTCTGCCCTTAGCTCGCACTAACAGCTGTCGTTCGGCTCACGAACTTTGTTGTTGTGGAACTCTCGACTGTCCCGTAGTTGGTTTAAAAAAAGACACAGACCAGACAACTATTTCTCTTGTTTCACCTTGGACTAGCTCTAAAGGGAAGACGTAATGCATAATTTGTGAAACAATTCCTACAATTTTTTCTATCCACTTTAAATTTTGTTCCCGAAAAAATATTTATCATTTGTATTATGGATTGATGAATAATTAATTAACGATACATACATATATATATATATTTATTTATTTATTTATACATATATATATATATATACATATAACGTTTGTAAATGTTTCAGTACGATGATGGCGGGCTGCACGGGGCCTACCTCGAGGGAGGTGGTGGCGGAGGAGGAGCAGGGCTGTACGATCCACACGGTAGCGCCCGCGGTGTTCCGGGTCTTCACCACAGCCCTCATCTCGGGGGTATGGGACCGGCCCACCCTCAATATCCCCCGCCGCCGCCTCAGCCACCCCAACACGTGCTCGCCGCGGCAGCAGCCGCTGCAGCCTCGGCAGTGCCCGATGTACACAAACGCGACAAGGACGCCATTTACGGGTAAGTGCCACTCGTAAAATCTCTCACACGATTATTCCATGCCATTCGACATTATTCTCTTTTCTTTCCTACTTTTATCTAGTAGTTGTTTTATAGCGAAACAACGACTTGCGTCACAGTGAAAGTAATAGGCCGACGAAATAACTTTGATTGTTACTTTTCTTTCCCCCTTCTCCTTTTTTTCTTTTTTTCTTTTTTTTCCACTTTTAAACGAATCCATATCGATATTTATAATATCGAATTATTAATCGATAACACGTTAAAATATGTATTTGGAAAATAATAATAAGCATAGGCATATGTATATGCAGTCGCTATATGTAGAACACAAAGCAATACATTCGTATCGATAATTCAAGCGGTCGTCGAATCGCGTCATCGGAATTGTAGTTCGAACTGTCCACTCTTTCTTCTTTTTTTCTTTTTTTCTTTCTTTTTTTTTTCACACGCAATATGTTTTTTATGTACATATATACTACACACGCACACACACACACACAACAGACATAGACGCATAGACCCATGTAGAATAAAATTATCATACGGATAGACGACGACGAAGACAACGATGTGTGTGTTTTGTCTCATACTTATTTAACTTATTCATAATTCCGTTTGAAAGAAGGTTACATTATACAACTCGATACGGCTTAAATATTATTTTCTGAAACGAACGAACGAACGAACGAATGAACCGACCGAGCGCGAGTGAGCAACGAAGAAAAATCTGCATAATTCCGTAATGCATATTTCGAAGGCTTCGAGTTTATCGCTCGACCTGGAAGCTTAACGATAGAGTTATACTTGTTAGCTTCGAAATAATATACAATAAGTTAGAGTCAGTATTTTCGCTCCACCCACGATCATTCTTTGTTTTTTTTTTTTTTTTCTTTTTTTTTTTTTTTTTTTTTTTTTTTTAATTTTTCATTGCAACGTGCTTGCGTTCCTTTCATTTTAATTTCCGTCTGTTTCTTTTTTTCTTTCTCTGCCTCTCTCTCTCTCTCTCTCTCTTTCGATAGAAAAAGTAAATGACGAATAATAGTGGTCCAGTCAACGATGACGATTCTTTTAACCGTCCCGATTCGTTTGGAGCAAACGAAATTTGTTCATTTTTCAATTTTAATAGCTTTCCTTCGTTAACGTCGGCTAGCCACGTTTATCGCCTGATTTATCGTAAGAAGCTTTTACAGTTCGTTGCACGTCATCGATCGTACATTTCATATTTTCCTATCGGTTGATTTATCGTAAGGAGCTTTTACGATAATTTTCACAGATAAATGTATATAGGTAGCTAGCTACCAATCTACGATTAACTGTACATCGTCGTCGGCCATAGCTACGTTTTCTATTTAACGTTAAATTTACTCTAAACAATTTTTATAGGCTTTTTTTACAGATAAATAATGATCATTTATACCTATGTATATATGCACGAGTGTATACACACATGCGTGTGCGCGCACACACACACACATATATATATATATATGTGTATCTACCTATTCTTTTTACGTACACCCATAGATATTTTTTCGCAAGTTGATGATGTACTATTAACCGTTGGAAGCTATGTTATAAAGTAAACGATAGAAAGTTTTCTACGTTTGCACAGTAAATTGTAGATTGTTAAGGAACGTGTTAGAGATGAAATAGGCGCGTGCCTAAGTGAGTAAAACGCCGAAGAGATCGGGATATTCTCTTCTCGTTGGTGGCCGTTTTATGAAGGCCGCGTTCACCGCGTGATTTATGGCCGTACGAGATGGCCCGATTTCTGGATGTATCCTAGAACGGGAGCCTCATTATTTCGCGTACCCTGTAATTTGTCCACTCCTTCGGGTCGCGCGCCTCGAGCATCGCGCACGAGCAGAAACACGAGCACACGAAGAAGATCATAGGAACACACGAGTCTTCAGGATTATGCGATTTTCCTGGAAGACTCATCGTATCGGTATACCTTCATTTCTTCCGCCATAATTCTTTTCTAAAACAATTTTTCACAATCAAGTACCAGTTTTTAGTTAAATAGAAGTTCATAATACGCGGATGATATCGCGAGGAAAAATGACACGTGGATTGGTTTGCTTGCTTGTTGATCGATCGATCGATCGATCGATCGAACGAACGAACGAACGAACGAACGAACGAACGATCGATCGATCGATCGATCGAAGGAGCGAGCCGATTACACGGATACCGAAGAAGGTTTTACGTAAAACTCGCGTACATAACTGACAGGAGAATCTGCCAATCATCGAGAAGACTCGACTTCTTATGCAAGAAGTTCGATTGGCCGAGTCATCCGTGCGGATCGGATGTCTTTCTGCGTCTCACGCAAATCCTTCTGTGAATGTGAACGAGTGAAAAAGATAAAGAGAGAGACAGACAGAAAAAGAGATGGATAGATAGATAGATAGAACGAGAAGACCTTCGTATGTAATTACGGCCGTGGTAAATTTATTCCGTCGATGTTGAGATCGCGAGACGTAACGTCTTGCGAGCGATCGATTATCCGCCATTTAAAATTTCAATCGATTTTGGATGGCTCTATTCTCTCTCTCTCTCTCTCTCTCTCTCTCTCTCTCTCTCTCTCTCTCTCTCTCTCTCTCTCTCGTTGCAAGGAAGAAGGAATTTCGAAAAGAAAAAAAGAAGAACGGGCACTTACTTAAAGTGCATATATCTCATTTTCTTTCCTTCCCTTTTTTCCTTTTCTTTCTTTTCTTTCTTTTTTTTTTTTTTTTTTATTATCTAGAAAAAAATTCGCATTTCAGGAGTAGTAACATTCGATAGTCGGTATCGGTGGTGGATATCCTTATCGCCTTTTATCGTCGGTGCTCGACTCCGTTGTTTTTAATTTATCGCGATAAAATCAAAATGCACAAGTCTGCCGATATGCAAAAAGCGTTTCCATGAGTTTTATTCCGACGACCGTGTTACCTCGGCTTTCGTATTTTATTCCTCGTTATTTTCTCTATTTTTTTTTCTTTTTTCTCCTTTGCTTGTACTTTTTCCCCCGTCATTTTCCTTTTCTTAATTTTCCCTCCTTTTCTTTTTCTTTTTTCTTTTTTTTTCTCTTTGTCGATTTTTCTTCTTTTCAAATGGATCATAGCGACGTACACATATCCGTTCAATCCTAATCCGATCCATCTGCAATATCGATTGATCTTTGAGATCCGATTGGAAGAAAAAAAAGAATGAAAATAAATAAATAAATAAATAAAAAAAGGAAGGAAGAAAATATAAAGAGTTTTCGTGTTAGCCAAGTTTCAAAATGAAGCCGTGGATGAGCCGTAAACGTCGGTGGTGCGTAGTAAATCATAAAGCAGCCGATGGTCGCGTATAAAAAGAGCCGCGGAAGAACGAGCGAGTGAGCAAATGACCGAGAAAGAGAGAGAGATAGATAGATAGATAGATAGATAGAGAGAGAGAGAGAGAGAGAGAGACAGAGAGAGAAAGAGAGAGAGAGAGAGAGAGAGAAAGAGGCGTCGCACATCGAGGGCGGAAACCGCAAAACCGCAAACATCCCCCGGTACCGCGCCGTGTATGGCCAATCATATCATTACCTTCTGCGGTTCCGTCATTCTGACACCTCGTTTCGACTCGTCATTTGTCATCGACGTCGCACTTTGTTGTCCCTCGACCGCTTAGGAAAACGTGGACTGCGAGCCGCGTACGAGCATTTACATGTTCTCTCTCTCTCTCTCTCTCTCTCTCTCTCTCTCTCTCTCTCTCCCTTTTCACTCGTATGAGAGAAACCGCGTGCGGCTTTGCTTTCCGTAACTTCTTCGTTATCGTTCACGTTCGAACGGATCGTTAGTGGTAATCGTTCGATTCGTTTCATTTTATACATATATATATATATATATTTCTTTTTTTCTTTATCTTTTTTTTTCTTTTTTTAATATCTATCTTTTGATCAATTCTATAGATAATTACTTATACTTACTTATACTATCTTACGTTTAATTTATGTTTATACTTTATCTATTTTTTCTTTTTCTTTTTTTTTTCTTTTTTCTTTCTTTTTTTTTCCTTGTTATTCCTTGTTTATTGAAATTTAATAATGTTAGGATGATTGAAACGAGACACCCGTTGTATACGATACAAACGTTAAAGTCCAAGATGAGTAGTCCGTAATAGGAAAAAAGAAAGTGAAAAGGCTGCGGGTCGAAGTTTACGGTGGTACTTTCTCTCTCTCTCTCTCTCTCTCTCTCTCTCCCTTTTTCTTTCTCTATCTCTCTCTCTCTCTCTCTCTCTCTCTCTCTCTCTTTTCTCTCTTTTCTCTGAGAGAAAGAAGGGTGAAGAGACTTTTTTGCGAAGCTCTCTCGATTTGGTCCCGTTCACAGTGAGTCGCTTCGAGAGTTGGCGGCGTCGGCTACACGTCAATTTGTCGAAATTCGTTCCGTATCGTTTTATGTCCGCGAGTCGCGACCCGCTACCATGGGCACACAGAACACCTTCTACCGTCTTGCTACCAACACGTTAAAATGAGACTCTGTCTTAAAATATGTCGGAGGGAAAGAGAAAGAGAATGAGAAAAAGAATAAGAAAAGGGAAGAAAAAAAAAAAAAAGAAAAAAAACCGGAAAAAAGAAACTGTATGCAACTTTGTATTTACACGAACACGATATTCTTGCATGTAATATATTTACCTATCCCTATCAACCTATCTATCCCCTATCTATTCATTTAACTATCTTTTTATTTTTAAATCATTATTTATTTTGACAAGTGTTTCATCGAACCTTTTTGTATAAGTTAGAATAATGGTATTAATGTTTGTTTGGACAAAGATGACGCTGATTGGCAAAGTATTACGTAGATGAATCGTCTCTCTTTCTCTCTCTTTTTCTCTCTCTCTCTCTCTCTCTCTCTCTCTCTCTGTCTCTCTCTCTCTTCGATGCCGCCTCCGTACATAGTGTATCTATCTGCCTACCTGCTTTAAATCTTGAACAGGGAGCTCGATTGCAACATAGGTGCACCGGTTAATCTTATCTTATCCAAAGATCCCTCTAATACCGTACCATGCTTCGTAGTAGGTAGGATATACATATATATATATATATATAGGTCTATCTTGAATATATACGTATGTATGTATATACGTACGTAGCGTATTCTGCGTGTGAATCAACGCATCGATAAAGAAAGAAAAAGAAAAAGATAAAGAAAAAGAGTACTCGCTAGTACTTAGATATTTCTTTTCTTTTCTTTTCTTTAATTTTTTTTTTCTCCTCCCTCTCCTACGTACGTACTTTATTACGAGAGGATCCCAACCCGTTGAATTTTCGATTGAGTTTGACGTATTATCTTTGAGCGAGTTATCGCACCGCTTATCGGTTAAACTCAACGATTACGACGAGAGATCGAATAAAGTGCGCGTTCGTGAAAAGTCGTAAAATTCCAAGTTTATTTTGATGTACACATTATCTTTTGGTATGGTGTGAAAGGTTTAAGAAAGAGAAAAAAAAAAAAGAAGTAAGAAAGAAAGAAAGAAAGAAACAAGAAGGGAAAAGAAAATGAAAAGAAAAAAAGATAACGCAAGAGAAAAAAGTATAGGAAAAAAATAAAAAAAAAAAAAAAAAAAAAAATAAAAAAAAAATAAATAAACTAATTGTATAATAATATCGACTGAGATAAAAGAATTGAATAAACGGGTATGTGTATGTTAGGATAGCCGTAAGATTTCGTGAGAAAGAACAGAAGTGTCTGTTGCCTTTTGAATCGCTTCACGCTAAATTTCGTTTCTTGCGTTGACCGCTTGTCCGAGTTAATTGCGTCCTCGTAGAACTAACAGGCGCGACTCTCGTTGTTCTACTACTTATTACGTTGGAAAAGGATAGGAAGAAAATAGAAAAGAGAAGTATAAAAATAAAAAGAAAAAGAAAAAGAAAACAACTTAGGAGAGAACGTAAGAGAGGATCTTTTTTATCGATTGCGATGACAGTCGTAACTTTGTATTACACTTTTGGTGTATTAAAAAGAGAGAGAAAAAAAGAGAGAGAGAGAGAAAGAGAGAGAGAGAGAGAGAGAGAGAGAGAGAGAGAAATATGATTCTCTATCTAATTGTCGTACTATCATCTAATTTTTTTTTCTTTCTTTTCCTTTTTTCTTTTTCGTCTTTTTTTTTTCTTCTTTTTTCCTCTTCTTTTTCTTTTCTTTTTTTTTTTTTCTTTTTTTTCTCTAAAACATTCTTGAAGCCAATTGAAATCAGTTGAATCATCTTAACTCAATCCTATATCTCTTATTTTTTCTTTTCAGACATCCCCTCTTCCCGCTTCTCGCATTGATCTTCGAGAAATGCGAATTGGCGACGTGTACACCGCGCGAGCCTGGTGTTGCCGGAGGAGACGTTTGTTCGTCCGAAAGTTTCAACGAGGACATCGCAGTTTTTTCCAAACAGGTAAGACCGTATTAATTAAATCTCAGATAGATAGATAGATAGATAGATAGATAGATAGAATATAATGTAATATAATCACTTTCATCGATGATTTTCGTCACGATCGTTTTCGCTCGTCTCAAGTTCGAAGAGAGTTATTCCCAGGCACGATCTTCCGAGAGAACTCGTTCGTACCTTTTCCCTTTCGTGCTTTTTCTTCTTTCCCTCTTGGCCTCCTCTTCCTCCTCCTCCTCCTCTCTCTCTCTCTTTCTCTCTCTCTCTCTCTCTGTCTTTTTCTCTCTTTCTCTTCATTTAGCTAGCCAGCCAAGAAGAGATGGCGAAGGTGGAGGTAGCTCTCCCCCAAGGACACGCGTAGGTAACTCGAGAAGCCAACGGAGCCCCGTACGTCCCCGGTGAAACGATTTCGGGCCTTTTAAAAACGTACCACTCCTGGCCGTCTACATTCCTGACCGCTCTCTCGCGTGTAAAGGTACCTACGTACCTACCCGGCAGAAAAATGTATTCCTTATATATTGCCACACACTGTGAAACCGGTATATAGAGTTAGTAGACGACGATGACGACGACGACGACGGCGGTGGTGGCGGTGGTGGCGGCGGCGGCGACGGCGGTGGTTACGAAGAATGAGAACTGAAATTTAACAAATGCTCGTTATGCCGCACTCGTTCCGAAATTGAATCGAGCGTGACGATACTAGGTGATATACTAAAGCTTAACTATATTCCTACCTACCTACCTACCTACCTACCTCTCTACCTACCTACCTACCTACCGACCCATCTACCTATCGATCTACTTATGTATTAAATATAATCTATCCTATGGTGATTTAGAAATTTCGATTAGATCGATATCCAACGTAGGTACGATCTATTTCTATCTGTTAAGATATATAATATTTTTGTTTATTTTAAAATTCGCACGTTAATGCTAATTATTTTGCGTTTTAATTACCATTAGATATTCGAAATAATTGTGTATGGAAATATCGATATTTGGATACGTAGAAGGTCCACGTGAGCTCGTGGAATTTGTAGACGGGCAGGGTTACTAAATATAGGAGTTCGGTAACGTGGTAGCGATGGCTTTGAGCGGCCGTACGCAGAGATAACGATAAACGTTAAGCCTCCCTGCAAAATGGGATAAGGTAAACGTATTCGTAGGCGTGTACTTATATACTTAGACAGTTTGAGCGTGCCTTTAATTCGCTAAAAATATCTCGGGACACGTTTGGAAGGTTTTTAAGTGGATTAACTTTAAGACGTAATCATGCGCATTTACTTTTTCTATCTTATTTTGTCGTTAAAACGAAACGTTGTAGAACATCAAGCGTACATGATAAAGGAAAGGAAAGAGAATAGTTATCCAGGCGACGATTATATTAACTTTAGAACTCTGGGTATCGTTGTTTGTCGTTGTCGTCATCGTCATCGTCGTCGTCGTCGTCGATCGTTTATCCGGTTCGCTATTTCTATTATTATTTATCCGCGTCTTGTCGGCATTACCAACTCTTGTATATAAGTGTTACGGAGTTATCTCTCGGTGAAGTTCTATGGTATTACGAAATTGACGTGACATTTGCATCTTAATAAGGCGTATAGGATATAGAAGGTAGATTTCTAAACGCAACGTGAGATAATGTAAATACATATGTACATATAAATATACATATACATACATACACACACACACACATATATATATATATATATATATATATATATATGTATATAGATAGAGAAAGAAAAAGAGAAAGAAAATCTATTCGGTTAACTATTTTATTTTCTTTCCTTTTTCGTAGTATAAAACCAATCTTAAGATTCATTCGAAAGTATCTACTTACTTACATATTTATCTTACCTATCGAACCGCTTAATAAAATTAATTTCGTAACGATAGTTTAGATACTTTTGCGAATAAAAATTTCAAATTGTAAATCGATATAATGCGTTACGAGATGCAGATGGGGGAAGGGAGAGGAAAGATGGAAAAAAAAATGACTAGGACCGATAGCCAAGGAAGCTTTATTAAGGAGACTTTAGAAGATAAGCAGGTGACGGTTTCTTTGTGCCGAACGTGTAACAACGTTCCTCTCTGTCCCCGATATTTCTACGTAGATAGCGCAAAGCCGACACAAAAGAGCCCTCACGCTGTGCACGGATTATGCGTTTTGCCTGATCGCTCGGTTATTCGCTCTTCGCTCGTTTCTAAACGCGTATGGACAGACGCGCACGCATGAACTTCATTTGCATCAGAGCACGCGCCTTTTTCTCTTTCTCTTTCTCTCTCTCTCTCTCTCTCTCTCTCTCTCTCTCTCTATATATATATATATATATATATATATATATATATATATATATATATATATATATTCTTCTAAGTCGTGTAACAATACTTTTCAACGTAACCTAACTTATTTACAATATTATTTCCCATTAAATCCTTTTTAATAGAATTTTCAATCTACTTTCGAACTACTCGTTTGGTTTCATTCCTTTCCTTTTCTTTGTTTTTTCCTTTTCTTGATGTATATCAATAATTGGTGAATAAGAATTGTCATATTCGTTGAGACTAATTATTAACCATGATCATTCATTCTTTATGATTCTATCAGGTCAGCGTGCATTATCAGAATGTAACAATCTCGATTTATTTCGATGGTCTCCAGAGAATATATAGGTAGCTATTTTTCATTTGTGCATCAGTGCCTACTCTTGACAGAGGAAATACGTATATGTATTTATATATGTCTGTGTGTGTGTATGTGTTGTGAGAGAGAGAGAGAGAGAGAGAGAGAGAAAAGAATAGAAGAAGGGGGTAGAGTAAGAGGAGGAAGGAGCTGCTCATTTTCTGCCATTGTAAATTGATCTATTCAGTGGGTCCAGGCCGATGGTATTATCCCCTCGCGTTTTACGCGGGCCGCGTGCTGCCGCTCGTCTCTTAGCCGTATGGGGCCCTGAACATACTCTCTCTCTCTCTTTCTTTCTCTCTCTCTCTCTCTCTCTCTCTCTCTCATTTTCTCTCTTTTTCTCACTCTCTTGCTCTTGGCCCCTTTCGGGGCTTTTGGCCTTGCCTGAGAAGCGAGGACGCCGCGAGGACGACCCGCTGTGCCCACGTTGCGCTTATTGTCCTGGCCCTTTTTCCCTTCGCGAGAGTAAAGGAAGAAGCGACCCAGTTTCTGTGTTCCTTACACACGAAGTCCTCGCTCTCGATTTCACACCGAGCGAGGGTCTAGTCTCGACGTAAAAAGAGCTACGGCGGTTTCCGCTTGATCTTTTCTATTTAATATTGGTTCGCGTAAAAAGTTTCTATGTAGTTATGAGGGCATTATCCTATCGATCTTATTGATTTCATTTAGAATAATCGTTCGTTGATCAATCCGCGAAACAAAATCACGTTTGTTCGGTACAAACGTGACCGTGTCTTCAAATCGATCGGATTTCTCCTTTTTTCTTTCCTTTTTTCTTTTATTTTTATATATATATATATATATATAGATGATCATCGTCGAGCAAAAGCAGGTTAAATAGATTCGTATTTTTCTATGGAGACTTCTATGGACGCGGTTTTATAAAGAGATCCGCGCACGTATCGAACGATTTTGTAACGATTTTAATGTAAAGAAGGTAACTTAGGATGAAAGGGCAAACGCGTGGGCGCGTCGAGAGCAGGTAGTCTCTGTTCGTGTCATTTCGCTTCGTTTCGCTTTAGAAAAGCACTGACGAGAGCAACAGTAGGAAGAGCGAGAGAGATAGAGAGAGATAGAAAGAGAGAGAGAGAGAGAGAGAGAGAGAGATGACTACGACGAGGAGGAAGAGCTTCAGTCCCGGGATTTATTGGCGCAATTGGAATGCACCTCCGAGAGCATTAAACCGTCGTAAAACGTTGGCCCTCGTGTCACTCCTCTCTCTAACGCGTGCGACTACAAGCCGGCCAACACGATTTCTGCATACTATTTCTAAAGGAAAGAATTCTGAATTATCTCGTGAAATATGGGCTCGCCAATATGACAAAATGCATTTTCATTGTTATCGTGTTTCTTTCTCTTTACGAACAACGTATATTTATTATAGCTTGGGTTTTGCTCGATAGGAATGGGGGGGGAGGCGAGGAATGAGAGAAAAAAAAAAAAGAGAAAAAAATAAAAGGAAAAAAGAGAGACAGAAGAAAGAAAAAGAAGGAAAGAGAAACGATTCATTAAATTACATGTGTAACTCGTATGTAATTGCAAAGGAGGAAAAAAATGGCAAAAGTGTGACGAAACAAATTTGCAATCATGCTTCATCAAATTCTACTACATAGACTTAATTTACTATCTCAGTGTTTTCTTTTTTCTGTATTTTCTTTTTCTTTTTCCACTCATAGCTTTTCTTTCCTTTTTTTCTTTTTCTTTCTTTTTTTTTTTTCGTTTCTTTTCTTTTTTTTTCCCCCTCTCTTTTACTCTTTTACGAAAGGATTTTACGTTTATTCAATTGAAATCGACACGAAGATACTTTGTACGATAGGATCGATTTGAAAATCGATTCGATAGCGGATCTCGAAAGAGACACGTTTCTCTCAATTCTTCTTTTCCTTTCATAAAGATAGAGAAATAAAGAGAGAAAGAGAGAGAGACCAAGAGCATAAGTGTGCACTCTCAGGAGGTTTCGAAGAAGGGATAGCGTAAACAACCGCAAAGCCGGATTATCATAATCGCGATAACGATGTCCGGAACGTCTCTTTTGTCGGACGCGGTATGCGCGATCGATGCGTCACGATCTCGATCTCGATCTCGATCTCAAGCTTGACTTTATCGGCTCAACTGATTTTCTTCTCTCGCGGGAAATTATTCGAGGATCTATCTCTTTTCCTCTCTCTCTCTCTCTCTCTCTCTCTCTCTCTCTCTCTCTCTTTATTCTTTTATTATTATTATTTTTGTTTTTAAATATATCAGATATATCGAATGATCGAAACTTCAATCGATCGCAGTCAAAGTCATACGATCGAGATATTATTCTTTA